TGTGTATAAGAGACAGGCTCTGGGTCCTGCACCCAAAACAGGGACATGTGTGAGCTGGCACATTGCACATGCTTCTCTCAGCCCCCTCCTGCAGCCTCGGGACATTTTTTATCCTGCCAGTCACTGAGCCACCGTTCAGTAGGATGAGGGAGAATGGGATGGGTGAAGGATGAATGAGGAATGTACACAGAGCACCTGGGAAAACACTGTTTTCCTTCTGTGGGGCAGTGGGGTGGTGGTTTTTTTGGAAGATAGGCCAGACTGAGCTTCAAGGCTCTGAGCATAAATTTATCCTGGGCCAGTGGCAACACTTGTAAAATCCTTTTTCCGAGGCTGACGGGACATCTCTGGGATCAGATGCACCGAGCTGAGAAGACCGAAGAACCTAATCATCTCCTGAGCTGAAGGGCAGCAGCGAGCTGTGGTGAGGGGCTGGCGGGAACCTCAGCACGCAATCACGGACCGGGGGGTGAGTGACTGACTGATGGCCCAGGGAGGCTGACTGGCTGGCTGACTGACTGGCGGACAAGCTGATTGGTTTACGGATTGGCTGGCTGGCTGGCTGACTGACGGATTGGCTGGCTGACTGACTAGCGGCCGTTTGGTGTTGGGGCAGGGCCGCCGCCAGGGGTCGCCCGGAGCCCAGGTATGGTTGGGGGCGCCCGCGGGCTCCAGCCCTGCGTGGAAAATCCAGAAAAACAATGGAGAGCGCCAGAGTTGTGGAATCATCGGCACCGCCCCGGGAGGGGGGTGGAAAGCCCCGAACTGATGGGCGGGGGAACTAAAATGTTGCTTTGCTGGGGGCGGATTTCCACTCGGTTAGAGCCGACAAGATAGGACAGCGCCTTACAACCAACTCCCCCCGCCTGTGCCACTTACTGTATGAACCAGCAAGTACCTCTCCACAAAGCAGCTGACAGAATTTATGGATATCCCCTTTCCTGGCCGCACATCAGTTTGCTCAGAAATTGTTTACTTTACAGCTGCTTCACATATTCGAGATAAAAATCGGAGCAGGAATAATTTTCAGTTCACTTTTCCTGGAGTGGAGGCCGCAGCTACTGTTCCAGAAGGCCTGTGTGACCAAACAGCTGCTGCTCTTGGGGTTGGGTACCCCCTGTCCAGGGTACAGAGCCTGTCCTGTCCTAACAGCTGTTCCTTTCCCAGATATGATTTGGGTTTGTGGCCGTTCACGCAGGAAGGTTAAAGAGAAGGAATATGAGTTGCTGGAAACCTGCCTGTTACAGCCTGGGAATGTGTGAATGAGAATGCAAGTGTCTCATAAATCAGCTACCTGAAACGGTCACAGGGCAAAAGAGTAAGTTCTGCCTGAGGAGACAAAAAAGCATGGTACTGTTTTATTGGTCTGTAGCATTGTTCCACCATCAGCAGGAGCTAAACCTGAATCTGGCTGAGGAAACAAGCAGACTGTGCCCTCCAGGGCATCTTCTTCAAGAACAGCAGCCTCAGCACCGGTAAGCTAAGCCCAGTGTGTGTGAGGGATGAGGCTGCTGCAAGGCCTCTCAGGGTGGGACAGGGATGGCCACAGCATCCCTCCATTGCAGATACCCTCACCATCATCAGCCTCACTGCTCCCGGGAGAGGAGTGCGGTAACCTCTGGGCTCACCAGAAATGGTACCAACTAGGGGTGCAGTTTTCCATCCTGCACTGTTTCAGGAGATGTAGTGACTCTGACTCACAACTCTTTCTTTGAATGTTGTTCTTAGTGTAGCTTTAATGGACTTAGTCTGATGTGGTATTTTTGCTCAAAATGCAATTAGTTAATTTTTTAACTCCACAGAAAGATTTCTTAATTTGTCAGACCAAGCAGGGACAACAAGACTAAAAGGAGACTTGTCTCATTTCCTCTTCTAATAGTGACTAACAAACGGCGAGAAGAGGGGGATGGTAAGACAAATTACATTTTATTATCTGCGTGACCATTGCTGTTATTATGGCTTTCACTGATCAGACCCTTAAGTGTACATTCCCTCCATCACAGTAATACTTCTACACAACAGCTACCAGATATCCTGAATTCCAGTAACCCAGAAGAAATCCATGCAAAAAGACATCAATTAATTCAAAAATGCAAATAACTTTGTATTACTTATTAAATAGCTGATTCTAAAGAACAGTAAAAAATATGAAAACATGCATCATTTGGTGTTCTTAAAAAAACATTTGTCCAAAATAAAGACTGTTAGAAAAATTAAGCAAGTTTAGCCCCAGTACACCTTTTGCTCTCCATATAAAAGATGTTTGGTAGTTATAAATACTGTTCCATCTCCTTTAGCGAAGTTTAACAATGTATACATTAGTATTTCTATTACAGTTTATTTCACATTTCTTCTGTAAACATAATCAGTTTAAAAAATGCCTTGTTAGCAAGCTTAAGGAACTACTGCTTTTCTGTACAGTAAATACAAAAAGGAAGATCCTGGATTTTCCTGCCCTTCTATCAGCATTCCATTTACTGAAAACATGAAAGATTTCAATTAGTATAAAAATATAACTAGAGAATAAATGTCTGAGAAGATTCAGTATCTGAGTGACTCTTAGTTAATAGGCAAATAAAGTGATGTTGAGTTCCAGATCTGAAGATCACTCCTGTATAGCTTCTGCTCTTCTGAGAGCCAAGCACAACAGTCCTGTATACAAATGCACTGGTTATCCAGCTGAAAAAATAATTTCTTACTTACTAAAAATAATTTAACACTTAGCTGACCTAAAAAGTGGGTGCTGAGAGATGGATGCCCATGTTCCGTGGACATACAAAGGTCAAAGCTGACTAACCAGCCACACCTACGGGCACCTGCTTTTCAGGAGAAGGGACTCAGTTCTCAAAAGGTCTGTACAATTCAGCAAGAATACTATTTTACTTAGCAATAGACTGGCTTCTTGGCTGGTGGGGGAGCTCTACAAAGCAAAATCACAGACTTACTCCTTTTCCCCACAGAAATAACTGGCTTTGTCCCTGGGGAGAATTTTTAGGCAGAGCAGTAGGCTCTTTAGGAAGCCTTGTTACTAGAAATGCTTGAAATTGTTTTACTGATGAGGATTAATTTTTTCTAAAGCACTATTGCGACACATTTATCATTTTTATCTAAAATAAAAATGTCATGTTTAGTTTTCCTCTTGCACTTGTTAAAATTTTACCTCCAGTTAAGAATAAGACAAAAATGCTGCATCTAAGATGGTGGTATGCTATAATCAGATTTCTTACACAAACACTGCCTTGATGCAAATGGTATTTGGCCTGTATGTGCTATCGTCTTTGATTCATCTGTTCCAGAAATCTGTAAGTCAAAACTGTGCATCTTTTAAACTATGAACAAAATTCTCAAGGGTTTTTTTCAGCCTTCTCAAGTATGAGACAGTACAAGAACAATTTCACATGACTACTTTTTCTAAATGTTTTACAGCAGCATTTTGTACGTGCCTATTTCCAGTTCTTTTGTTTGGATTCCTTCAAAGAGAGGAAAACAGGACAGAAAATCAGATCAGCCAGCAGGGACCCGGCCATGACAGCCTACCCTCGTGAAGGAAGAATGTTTCTGAGCACTAAGCACAGAGCAACAGACGGACAGAACCACCAGGACTGATTTAAACCCCAGTCCTGGGTTTAAATTACGCTAACTAACTGAACCAATTAAACAATTGCTTCCCTTTTTGGAATGAAGGTGATGCTGCTAGACTGGTTAGATGCTGTCAGGTTGTTACAGGCTAGTATAGAAACAACTCCGTCACAAGCTACATTTAAATAAAAATCTGCAGTGGAAAAGTTTTGTATAAAAACAGAATTTCTAGAAATGAGAAAAAACAGCAAGCACTGTCAGACATGACATATGATAATGACTGAGCTCTGAGCAGACACTTCTGTGTGGTCAGCAGTGTTTCCTTTGTAGAAAGGCCCAACCTGCTGAGCAAAATAAGCTCTTTATAAGCAAGAAGCTGCTCTGTGCAAAGCAGAACGAAGGAAGGTGGGCTTCTGTTCACAAATGGTACATCAGCCTCTGTCGTTACTCAGAAGTGTTTTTTTTCCCTTTCCAGCTCTTTTGTCTTTGCTCGAGTTCAGCTGCAGTGAAGGCGGCCGGGCCCCAGTTTGTGATGAGGTGAGGGTTCTTGGAACCTGCAAGAGAGTGCGATATCTGATGCAGGCACTTCTGACCTTGCCCTGGCCAAGGAGGGAGGAAGGCCTGCGACACCCGCAGTGAAGGCTCTGTGTGAGAAGTTGTCAGCTGCTGCAATCTTTCACATCCTTATCTCCCAACTTCCCCCCTCCTCAATTAGTTGTATCTTAGTAAACTCCCCCCTCCTTCTTTCCTTTAGAGATGTCCTTCAAGGAAAGCAATCTCTTCAGCACTGCCTTATAAAGCCACTTTCCTCAGGCAGGCATGCTATTAATTAAGCTAAGAAATTAAAAACTTTTCCCCAAAATCAAATATTTTAGCTATCGTTAGTTTGTGTGTTTGGCAAGTACCCTTTATGCTAACTGCATTAAACACCCAAACCATGTAATGCTCAGGCTGATCTTTGCTTTATTTTGAATATGTAAACAAATAATAATGATTTAATTTTGTTACAGTAGGGCCAGTGGCAGTAAAGACTTGAAAGTTACGATCAGCAGTTCTCACAAATGTGGTATTTACAGGCTGCTGTGAAAGTACTAAGGTACAGAAGAGGCCAATGTCAGGAAATCACTAGGTGATCTAAGTATACGGGACAGAATGAACACACACACTGCCTAACTGTTCTGTTGTAACTTACCTGGCTCTATTAGTCGAATTAATCCCTCATGATGAGCTACTTTATCTTTCCAGCTCTTGGTGTTATTAGCTGCTGTTTCCAACTTCTTCTTAACCTCCTGGAATAAGATAACAGTCCATGTGAAAACAAGAATAACTTTACCCTGTTTATATCAAAGGAAAAAAACATCCTTTACATCTGGAGACAGAACTACAGTAATTCAACCAGCCAGCCAGCCCTCCCTGTAGCATGGACAGGAGTACTCCATTTCTAACCATACTAAGTAATTTAGTCAGTCACTAGTTGTACAAAATAAGCTGTCAAACCAGAATCCAAAAATAACCATGTTTCACAAGATTGTGTAGCTGTGTAAGTAGGGCTAGTTTTCATAAAGATCAAAAGCATAAACTGTAGTTTCAAAACAAAGAAAAAAAGTATTTTCTCTTCCAAACTAAGACCAGCTAGCTGGGTAATCTCTCACTACTGGAAATCAGAAAATATAAGCTAGGAAAAGGACCACTGCTGTTACACCCACGCACAAAAAAAGAGGTCGTTTTTCAGTCTAAACCAGTCTTTTGGTCAGCTCCAAACAGAAGGTCAGAATGTTTAATTATTTCTAAAAGAATGACTCAACTATCACAGTGACCTATTTGCTTTGTGGACTTGTTGGTTTTGTTTGCGTGTCTATTATTTTTTTGTCTGTTGTAGTCAGCAATTCCTTTGGAGTAATAAATGATGTTTTGTACACAAAAAGCCTGAGGTGTCATCTAAAAAACCAGTCACGTATTAGCCAAAAGCAATCTAATGATGGTGCGAGATGTGGTGCCAACACAGTAAGTTGTAAAGTGGCCAGAACTGCCCCAGCTGGGCCCTTGCTTGCGGTCACTGCAGCCTTTGTGCTCTGTGACAGTGCAGACAGCTCGCCGGCGTGTCCTTCACGGCACGAACCTCAACAGCACAGACAGCGTAAACACACTCCCTAGTTAAACAGAAATCCAGTCGTGTTTTGTTTCCTGACCTAAATCACACAGGATCAGCACCTCCCTAGCCCTAGATAGTATGCAGCACTTCAGGCTCTCCACTTGCTGGATTCTGGCTCATACTTCTTCCCTGAATACAGCTACTAGACTTCACCAAAAAACACTGAGCAGAGGTCAGGCCTGGCCTTTGGGATGTCAGGCACTGCTCCCCACTGAGAATCTGAGCTAACTGCTAGCTCTCCTCGACATCATTTCAGTGCTTAAACACTGTGCTTTTTGAGGAGCAAGAGCCTACAGTAGCACACTGATTTTTCATCCATAGAAGACCATATTGCCTCAGGACATCATCAAAACATTGCAAGAATAATTCAAAAGCATAACCCATTTAGTGATGGCAGCAATGGGACTGCATAAGAAGTTAAGTCTACAGTAGAAGACAAATGTACAGGGAGTGTTTCAGGCTGTGACTGAGCTGGCTTGCATGCAAATTGAGACAAAAGAACAAAGGAGGTGGTAAGTCTGAAGCATGTTCTTTTCTTCAAATACATCTACTGCTCTAGGCCAAAAAACCCCAACACCTAACTCTCCTACTTGTTCTTACAATTTTTGTGCCTTACTCCTCCTTTAAGCAGCGTGATATTGATGAACTTAAAATTCAGTTAAACTACTGAATACCTGGCTAGGTATGAGAAGGGGTCAAACTGAACAGCTCACCTCATATTGCTCAAGGGCCTCCTTCCTTTCCAATTCAAGTTGTTCCAGTTGCTGCATAGCAACTTGAAGAGCCTGTTCCTTTATCATTCTCTGGTTTTCTAGCTCTTGCTTCTCTGCTTCTGTCATCTGAATGGTCTGTTGCTGCTGCAAGTGCCATTTTTCCAGTTCAGCTCTCTTTGCTGACTCTTCTTCCAGTAATCTGCAACGGGGACTGTGATGTTAACTGCACTTTAAAGTAAAAGCAGTATCCAGTACATAGCATACATGTAGGGAAGCCAAGCTAATTCATTTATTTGTTTAAAAAAATACTTGGGAAGCAGGGAAAAAGTTACTGTTTGTTGGCTTGTCTTCAATGTAAAGCTGAAAATCATGTCAGCAGTGCAAGCAGTCTGACTGCTACAAAGGGCTATTCAGAAAATGTAGTCAATAATGCAAATACACAACACTGAAAAGCACAGAAGAAACAAGCATGCTTAAGTTATCTTAATTGTCTTAGGAGGACTGAAACAAACCATACTAAACAAAGCACATATGAGTAATAGGAGACTTAACCCTTTACCATTTAAACCTGTATTTAAATAAAATACAGCATAAAGTCTTAGGTAGAGTTGCTGCTTTATAAAATACACAACTGCCAATTCTGTGCAGAGTGATCTGTTTTTCAAGTGCTGACATGTATAACACCTGATGAAAAGTAAGTGCATCTGCTTTTCTGAAATTGGCTGAGCCCTCCCACTGCTAAGGGCTAATCAAATATATTCAGAAATCATAAATACCAGCTTTAGCCATCATAGCTTAGGGGGAAAAAAAAAAATATCTTTCCCATGTTTGAACTTCAAGCTAGGTCCCCCCTTCCAGCAGCATGTCCAAGATGCAAATGATCTGTAATACTATGGCACAGTTATTTATGATTGGGGGGGTGGAATTGAAATAAATCCCCACTAGGTCAAAGCCCTACCTGGCTTGAAGTTTCCTTACAGTCTCTTCATCTTGACGTGCCTGTTTCTCATCCTCCAAAGCTTCCTGTAGCTGCTTATACATTTCTTCCAGTTCACATACTCTCTGTAAATATTGTTCCAGTTCAGATGATTTCTGAGCAACCTGCTCTTCCATTTTTTGTCTTACCTAGCGGCATAAATTGAAGACACATGAGCTCCCATTCAGCTCAGGTTTCCCCTTAGATAAGGTTTTCAGAGACAAACGTTTCCCCGCCACCTGCAGAGCAAAACTTTTAAATAATAATAATGTACATAATAATATAGGTTAGTTGCTTACATTGCCCTACTTCACACAGCACAGGATTTTTACAGGAGTGTGAACCTAACATCAATCAGTTTGATCTTGTCACTTAGTTTACAGATACACACTAAAGTGAAGGAAGAGAAAACCTGTAGAGTGCCCAGACACAAAGGTCAGGCCGGTTTAATTACACCATTTCCACTCCTTTCCTCAGGCAACTCTTCCCTTGGCAGCAGCATATTTCACACACATCTGCATGATGGCACCGCGGCAGCATGGGATAGATACAGGGATGGGAATCTGCCGAGAAGGTTGGCTTTGCTAAGAGAAGAGCAACTATAACAAAAAAAGACCAGTAAGGGGTAGGGGGAGGTGAGGGGATGCTGCGTACCGCCTGGGCTCTGATCCTCACTGCCCCGAGCGGGAAGCCAGGGGCACTGCAGCACCGCACCGCCCCTGGCTGCGCTGGGGACAACAGCCGTCAGGCTCTGAACTGAGTCGGGATAAAGCACCAAAACCTCAGCGTTTAGCAATACAGGAGGAGAGCACGGCTCCGGAATTCAGCAAGAAAGGCTCGCTGCCAAGCGTAGGAGGGTGGCTTGTCCTGCTCCGCTGGCCTGCAGTCTGCTTTCCCTCAGCTAAATGAAACCCCGCTGACCCAGAAAGCGATCGGACTCAGGAATCCACAGTCAGCCCATAAAGCAGCACTGCATGCATTTATGTTCTGAGACATTCCATCACATCAACTTGACGATTTTTACTTCTTTCCTCCAGCTAACAGAAAAGCCAGTAGGGTCTGACAAAGCCCTTGAAGAGTGAAATAATTCTTTTGGAAATTCTCAGTGTAGATTATAGTAACAACATCGTAAAGTTACAATATTTCCTTAATTTACAGTTATACACACACAGAAACATAAAAAAAGAACACGCAGTTTTTGTTAAAAAAAAAAAATTGTTTTAGGAACATATTCTAAGTCAGAAAATTCCTAAAATGCATTTTGATTATGCATGTGTTCATTTTGCATGTTCATATAGTCTGTACCAGCCTCACATTCTTCATCTTTGAAAACTGCAAGGGTAACTTCAGCCTGCATTATCCTTCAAAAGAGGCTGATTTTTCCCAGTTTTCCAGTAATATTTAAGCTTTGAATGCTATAGAAATTGTAGGCCAGCTGTTGCAGTATTTGAATTCACTAGTGAAAATATTTTGTTCCTATGTCTCATTTATAAATGCAAAGCAGGTTGTGTTCTACCGCCTCCAACAAAACCTGTGGAATCCTTTCAGCAGCTGCCTGTGAGACAGGTCATTGCTGAATGCAGCGCTCACTATGTGTAATCAGCAAAAAAACCCACTTGCACTACTCACCATTTTTTCTCTCTCCAGCTCCAAACTGAATCGATCTTGTAATTCGACTTGAGTCTGGAGTCTTTTCTTCTCTTCCTCAGCAGCACGAGCAGCTGCTGCTTCCAGTTGCTGGAAGTAGAAGGGAGTGGGGTCGGGAGGAAGAGAAGAAGGGAAAAAAATTTGTCAAAACTAAAACATTCGGAGGAAATGTTAATTTTATTTAACAATTTTTGGTTTTAACAAAAATGGAAGAAACCTTCTAAAGCATTAAGGCACCAACTTTATTCTTTTTAAATGTCTGAGGCTAATCTCAATCTCTAAATATCATTTTTAGTCTTACTATTTGCAAGACTATTTTAAATTTACCAATGAAAAGTCAATTACAGACTTCCGACAAGTTTCCTTTGAGTCCTGCTTTTCACAACCCCTAGAAATCACTGTATTTCCTTCTCTCATGTGGGATAGAAAACTTCTGGAGAACCACATCGCAGGCAGAACTGCACGGGAGTTCCAACAGTGAAAACACTCCAGCACGCACACAGTTCATACAGAACAGAAGTGAGAAGCACCAAATTGCCATGGTAAAGCAGAAGTGCCACAAAGTTTTACTATAATAAGTGATTGTGCTATTGTGAATCACATCCCTTCAACATCCCCTGAATTGCCATGTAAGGTCAATAAAATTCTAGTCAATAATCATCACTTGAAATTAGGGGAAAAATAAGCCTCATCAGAACTAAGTCCTAGGAAACAGCTGCTGGTACCTTCATGCCTTTTGCAACTTACTTATTTAAATTGTCTTGCATCTTGTTTTCACATACACAGTCACCACAGTTTTTCCTTTCATCAGGATTTCAATAGCATGTGTTTTTAGAATGCACCGAAGGTTAGAAACAAGTACCAGCCCAAGCTTCACCAATACTGAAAACAAAATAATTCTTTCACAGAATTTTCATAAGAAACTTATCTATCTGATGCTTTAGAGGAAACAGAAAGCAAGCACCCTTCTTTTGTAACATGCTGGTCTGGATAAATTGTTTCCACAGACCTTCAGTAACAGCAGGCATTGTTACCTTTAGTATTTTTGGAAGGCACCACAGTAAACCATCTTCCCTCACACAACCTTGAACTAAAGAGATGCCCATACAATTACAACTGCCAAGCTTTCATTCCTTTAGGAGCCTGTGATATCACTCTAGTCTGAAATAGATGGGAAGAAGGGAAGGAGAAGGCTTCTAGTTTGTTTTAAACCGCAGAAGATAATACAGCTTTGCTCTCCTTTGAAAGGCTTAAATGATGCCAGTCTCTTAGAAGCAGTATTCCTCCTCTGCCAGAACATCTAAAAGCATGTAATTGTAGTCAAATCCAAGATGCCTATTTAAGTGAATTTTTCTTTTGATTTTTCTTCCCTGCTTTGAAATTAAACAAACATTGCCAATACCGAGCCAAGAGGGTGAACGTGCAGAGTCACAGGCAAGGGTGAGTGCTAGGCTTTTGCCAGAGAGCTCAACAAGACAATAAACGCACTGTTTGTCCACTCTTTATCGGCAACTTCCTGCTCAATTGTGTCAGAGGACAGCAATTCCTGGCAGGTAAGGTTACTGGCAACAACTGTGCAGTTTAGGGAAAAGTCCCAACTGTTGGGGGCAGGGAGGGAGAGGGAATGGAGAGGAACAGGCCATTCCAGCAGGGGTTGGTTAGCAGAGTCTCCAAATCCCGTGCGAGACCCCCCCAAACTGAAACACAGGGTACACAAGTACAAAGTGCATGCTTTCATGGCAAGAAAAACTTACCTTTCAGTCTGTTCAATGTATGTATCTCAAAATGCCATTAAAAATATGAAAAAAACCTATTTTAGATAAAGGCTCTTATTCTTCTGACATTTTCTACTGCAGGAGCTACCAAAACACAGACCCATCTCACAGTGCACTTTGGCAGATGCGTTGTAAGTGATGGCTCACTGCCATTAGGAGCAAATCTAACTCTGAGCTTTCCAGAAGTATTCAGTTTCCTGAACCATTTATAAAGCCTTTTTCCTTGAACATTTTTCTAGCTAATCAAACACTTTAAGTTCCTCCAGCAGAGTACCTCCCCAAGAATTCCACTTAGTCAAAGTGCAGTAGTTCTTGTGAGACACTAAACTACTCTCCCTGAGAAATCATTTTAATCCAGTCCACTTCAAAAGCTGCTGCTTGCCACAATTCTCTTTAGTTTGCCCATTGTGATTTCTACAAAACTCCCTGGAGCCTGTCAACATCCTACTGCTGCTCTGGGCTTGCTCTCATATTATTGTCCCACTAACCTTTTCCTCAACAGCATACACTCAACACTGAAATCCAGCCCTGTGATTTCCATTAACAGGTGTATTATTTATCAGTAATGTGCAGGTAACACAGGCTATCCTTCAAAGCATATTTTGCATTCTGAATGTTAAACACATGGTAGAATACAGGTGCTAAAATTAAATTTAAAAATTGTTTTCCACTGTCAGACTCCAGTTAAGGCAAACAGCAATACCCACAGCAGTACTGTCGGTGAAAGGTTATTACAAAAAGACAAATTTCTCTGCAAGTTGTGACTTAATAACAAGAAGACTTTTAAAAAGATACATTTTTGTTTGTGGGGTTTTTTTGCTTTCTAGACTTGGCACCTTTAGCGCATAGTATTTATAGCATCCCCTGGACCCACTGCTTCAAAGATCGTTCAAGTGTTTTCTAGCCGAGGGCCAAAATCAGTGTTTCTCATTTATGAAAAACTCAAGGTTAACGATGGAGACAGGAAGCATATCTGGATACTAATCAAGTCTCCGTGGAGAACTATTGTAGAGGTACCAGTTGTTCCAAAGCAGAAAGATCCATCAGCACATTCAATCTACTGTTAAGAATACGCAGCCACAGCAAAGGCACCTTGGTGTCTCCTGCCAGTCCTTAGATTTAGATTAAAAATCTTCTACATGGAACGTAATGAGGTCAGGAAGTCTTCTGCTGATACTCTGAAATTTCTAGTCCCATTCTCAGTCTTTTAGAAGTCAATCCAGCATTTAAAAGGAACATGCATTTAAACAGTTTATAAATGGTTGCTCTGCGTCTCAGCTCTGTAAATCTCCCCCAAACTAATAAAATTATGCCTATACATACTCACAGAATCACTTTGAATCTTTGGAATCTTTGTAAATTAAATTTATATCTCTAGAAACTACAATCTGGGTGAGGAGAAGAGTTCCCCCCACATACAGTTTTCCAGAGTTCTGTGAACTATGTATGAAAACCTTAATAGAAAGCCCCAAGTTTGACAGCCTCATCTGACAGAAAAGAAAAACAAATAACCCACAAATAACTGAAAATAACAGACTCTCCAGTCCCCAAACACCATCCACACAGCTGGTGTTTTCTTTTACAGGAGCTTCACAGTGCTCTCCTAAATACAGGGGCAGGGCTGGCCACGCACGCTGCCACAACCTGCTGCGGTCAGAGCTTCGGCCTCACCACAGGACAGCAGCACATCTGCTGGCTGCAGGGGCTGATGCTGATACAAGCCCACCTCCTCTGGAGGAGCTCACTCTGTGTGTCTGAACACCTGACCAGGAAAGAGATGCCGAGTTATACTTCAAGAGGCCCAGCTAAACCACAGAGGTTGACCTGAGAGCCTGGAGGTCAGCAGCTCCCACTCCCACCTTTCGCACGGTCTCCAGTTCCTTCTGCTTGTTCTCGTTAGCCGTCTGCAGTTCCTTCATCTGTCGCTCCAGTTCTTCTTGCTCAGCCAACAGCTTCTGGCGCAATTCTTTTCGTTTTTGGCGTGCTTCTTTGTGGGGTGGAGGGCTCCCCACTCTCAGCAGGTTTACAGTGGTCTGTATGGCTGGAAAGAAGTGTGCAGGACAGAGGGAGAGGAAGAGAACACCAGTGAAAGGAAATGGTAAACTTTCTGGATAGCCTGGGTGAGTTAATGAATACCTGTGGTGTGTATTGTTTGTTGTTGTTGGGTTATTTTGAAATCAGAAATAACTGTTGTTAGTTCTCCTAATTCTCACCAGGCTAACTGTCAACACAAACCAAAAGTGAAAGACACTTGGCTTTCTGTATTGGCTGTGTTCCACAAGGATATGGTCTAGCAATTCCTGTGTATTATCTCAATTCCAATATCGATTCCTAACAGGTAGTGGACATACATATCACTTGTACACCTACCTGCAAAAACCCCTAACACTTAAAAGACTTCTTACTACCTAGATTCAGTGATCCTAATCAAGCAGCAAGATGTTATCTGACATACATCAATTACTTCCCTAGAACCAACCTTAATCCCTTTATTCTTACTGATACTCCAAGGGAAAACTTCTCTCAATAATAAAGTAGCTCTCATTCACTTATATTCAGTGAGGAAGTATTCAGAGAGCAAGCCTGAGGAGTGGCAGTTGATTCTGATATTTTATTCACCTACTGTGAAAAGTATTCACCTACTGTGAAAAAAGATCTCCTTTTGGAACTAAGTAATCATTTGTCAAACTTTGTGACTTTGATGCTTTAGATAGAGGGAAGTGCAAATGAAAGCATACAGGTTCAAGTAGCTAAATGCTGTACATATCTCTGAGGCATTGTGGGTTTTTGCAAGGGCTTCTGCCTAACTCCACAAAAGATGCATGTGACTATTGCTCAGCATGTTATCTGGGAAGGTCTTGCAGAAGGAGCACCTTCACTGTGAAGAAGTGGAACAGAAAAGGAAGCTCCATTTCCCAGCCTTACCCTCAGCTCACCAAACTGTACTACCTCAAGCAAAACTGTAAAAGCAAAGCCACTATTTTACGATGCTGAAGTGAACAAGCTTTCCCTTTCTCCCCAAAAGCAACAATTTAATTCCTCTTCCCTTCCCCATACAACCATTATAGGAAAAGCAGCAACAACATCCATTTCATTCTGGTTTTGGCTGCCTGAATTGAGGCACCTAAATCACAGAAACTGATTCCCCTTACATCGATCCATAGTTCTTCCTGAGTCTCAGGCTCCTTAACGATCCCTTCCACGTGCCCAAAACAGAGACACCAAAAATCACAAGACCAAGAATTTCAAGTTTGAGTAAATCATGCTGTTCTGTTACCTTAACTTTCACAGAACAAACACTTTTGAAACCTCACCTTGAATCCACTCCTGCTTCTTCTTTTTATCAGAGGCACTGATCTCAAAGCTTTTATCAAGACATTTTATGAGAAAAAGGCATTTCTTTCCATCTTTGTCAGGCAAGGCCTAGAAATGGTAACAAAGGATTAGCCTTGCAAACACTGAAATTTAAGTTATATTGTCAAGCCCCACATATGCAGTTATCAGTTACAGAGCTACAAACACCAGCATCAAGAACCTTTATAAAAAAGTACTGGTTTTATATAAAGTAAAAAAACCCAACAAACATTAATGAAAGGAGTCCATCCTGCACACAAAGAAGGATTAATTGTTATCTTTAGAAATATTCAAAGGTTTTGGTTGGTTGGGGTTTTTTTTTACCTCTACACAACAGTTGCCATCCAGTATGATGTCTCCCTTCTTGTCCTTTAAATCTTCACTTACATAGTAGGAAATAATATTGGGTTTTAGCACAAACCATCGTTCCGTCCAATTTTTCCTTTTATGACCTTTTTTCAACATATAGCCCTGTAAAAAGCAACGGATCAGCTGAAACGCTTGGCCTCTGTTGAACTGCCTCGTCTTTTGGTTATGTGGCTTAAAGGTCCAATGGAGCACACAGAAAAGTTAGCTCAAGGCCCTAAATATTTCACCTACACGCTTCTATTCCTCATACCAGCACACTACTAATTGTTCAGCCCATGAAAAACTACTTACTGTTCTTCTGTCCAGTTTTTAGGTAACTGGGTTATCTGAAGAACTGAACAATTACTCCAATTGCTATTATTTTTATGTCATTACCAAGTAATTATGATGATTCTTCAGCCCTCTTTGATGACCTTTACTATTTAATTTTCTGGAGTCAAGCAGAGACATTTGCCATCACTAAGACTCACCTGTAATACTTTAATGACATTATACATTAAATACATTAAAGATCAGGGCGTGTGGCCACACACCCTGGTGGCAGATGCAAGCCTGCATCTCAGCACTGTAAATCCAGCCCCTTACGGGACATTCCCAGGGACAAAACAGAAGCACCTTTGTGCTGGGAGTGGCTCCAGCCTGCCAACACACTCATTTAGCTGCACCCAACTGAAAAAGCGATCCCATATAGGATACTTCAGTGAGTATGTTAACAAAACTGGTAACAGAACCATGCTCCTGGCATCTTTACTGGACTGGATATGGGAACACTGCTGAAGCCTGGATCTTCCCTTAAAGGAACAAAGTTGTATGTTGATTTAAATAGTGCCATGATTTCGCTCATTTTATTTTTCTTGAAAGATGATCTACTCAACTTTCTATATGAGAAAAACACTTGAGAGCTTTAACGAGACTATTTCAAAAGAAGGAAGAAAATCCCATACTTTGCCACTGAGCTTTATACAAGAAAAGAATAAAAATTATATTGTTATGACAATAAATAGGGCTGGTATCATGATCAAATCATTCAAGTTTGCCTCTATTGAATATTAACAGATCTAAAATATAAGTGCAATACTAAGTGCAGTTACACTACTAACCCTGTTACACATTATCGTGTGGCTACATCAATCCAAAAACCATCTCACAGAAGAGAGGGTACACAGGGAATGATATAAAAATTGCTAATTCTTTCAGGCATTTGATTTTAGTGGTCTTATCAGGGGCACTTCTGGGACCTAGTCATTTTTTTAATCTAGAGTTTCAAAGTTTGCCAGTACTTCAGCTGTAAATGACATTTAATTTCTGAAACCATATTCCCCAATTACCTATATACTTTTGTCTGATGCCTAACTTCAGAAAAAAGTCAAATCACAGATGAAACCGAAACATCTCCATCAATATAGCTATGAACAAGACACACAGAAAGCACTGTATTCAAAGTATGCCAGATTAAGAGGACTGAAAAGTTGGAAAGGAGACCAAGGAACATTTTTCTGTAATGCCTTTTGGCTACAGCAATTTTGGATACAAGCAAACAAATAAATGTGCAATGGCATGTTTATGTCAAAGGTATCTTTCTGTACAGGTTTGAGGGGAAAAAAAAAATTCATGACAGTTGGAGAGCTCTTTTGTTTATTAAAAAAACCACAAACCAAAAAAGAAACAATCCCCACACACGCACACAACTTATCTGTGCTTAGCTTTTCTAGCCAGTTAAATGCAGCCAGAACCACAGCCAGGCCTATTCCCCTGTGCTATCCCACCCCCATGCTCAAAAACAGGAATGCACAGAGAAATAGCTTTGTTTGCCGCCTCCATACTCAGGTCCGAGGTCTGGGTGGTCGCACGGGTATGTGAAGGATTCCTGCAACTTCACTCTTTTGTGCCTTGGACAGTCTAAGTCATAACCAGGTGTTTTTCCCCTTCCTGACATACTACATTTGCTTTCAAAGCCAATACTGAAACACTGATACTTCCCCCTCAAATTTCTGCCAAGCCTGTATCTATTATTTCTGTGCATCAGCTGTTTCTCATCTTCCAGGAGCCCACTGACAGCTCCTGGGGATCTTTTCAGATCAACTGACACATGAAGGACACATCTTTCAGAAAACTAAATATCACAAAATTAATCATCACCACTACCTTCTGTAAGCCTCGGAGATCCAGGAAAAGTGTACAATAAAAAGGACAGTATGAGACTTGGCTATGCTACATTATGTCATTAATAAATACCTTGAAGCAATTGTATACTGCAATAAACAGGACAATTCTGTGAATCAGCAAGGTATCATCGTACAAGCTGTGACCAAACCAGATGTCTGCAAGTCACACAAGGAACCCCATTTTCCATTAGGCCAGTGATTGCCCAGGAGCGGCTTGGCCAAATCTTGACACAAACTATTTTTAAGTGTCAAGGAACCATTCAAAGGCACTCAGACATCCTTGAGAAAAAGGCCCAGCCACCAAGAGAGGAAAGAAAGGAGACAGTAAAAAAAAAAAAAAAAAAAAAAAAAAAGACACAAAGCAGTATCAAAACTGAAAAGAAATCCAATTTCCTCACAAGTTTCAAGTGGAAGGACTGACCTGACACTGCTTATTTTATTTTCATGGTATTAAATAACAGAATTTGTGTCTCTGTGTGTGTGTGTGTGTGTGTGTGTGTGTGTGTCTCTGTGTCCGTCCAGCCCTCACCTCCAACAAGCAACCAGCAGTTAACAAAAATAGATTTTTGTATTGTTCTGTGGATATTCTGAAAGAATTTCCTGTGCCAAGACCTTCTGATGATTTCTTCATAACAGCTTAGGAAAGCCTGCCAAGAAAGCCTTTGTTTCTCACCTCAACAAGAAGCCAAGAAATCAAAGATGAAAAAATTCTGTGTCTGGTAAAAGTCATTTTTAAATAGCTCTCTAGGTAAGCTCTGCTGTGACTCCTCAGGTCCCTGTGATGTTTATACCTCCCATGAAAGAAATGCAATCTTTAAAGCCATTCCTAAACTGATAATCCAGCCACTGGAAATCTGAAGAAACTGAAGATTGACAGAAGTTTGCTAAGAATACAGAGGCCAGCATGACTTCTTGGGTTTGAGTACAGGTAAGAAAGCGCTCAGTCACAAAGCCTGCTAAGCAGAACAAGAAGGAACTCTTCTACACCTTCTTGCCCTGGTGAAGTGGGGCAACTTAGAAGCCGATCTTTCAGCTGGAGCAGACCCCCTCGTTTGAATACAGAGGTTATCATCAGCACAACTTGTATTTACTACAATGTAACTGAAACTAGAAGCAAGCATTTTCAAGGATTGAAGAGCTGCTGGCACTTTAAGAACTGACAGCACGTTGCAGCCATTCTATCAGCTAACAAGCAGTTGATGCTAGCATGAAAATGCTGTTTCATGTCAGAGCACACTTCTATAAACAAACTCTCCCATCAAGCAACTCATTCAAAATACTGTGATTACAACAATCTGGACAGCAACACAATTTCTCTTTTATAAAAATAAGCTCATATTAAACCCTTGTAAGTAATTTACCTAATTACCACCCGCCTATTATCCCTTAAGTAAAGACTTTTCAGTGCAAGTTGAACATTTTCTAATTATGCAATAAAGTGTTCTGTTTTAAAACATTCATTCTCTGTGGTTCTCACCTGTTTGAGTACATCTAAGATGAGCTCATTAAAGACTTCATTGATTGCCATGGACACCGTCTGTCGGTCCATCCCTTTACTGAACTGCCCACTTCCGATGAGATCAATCAGCTCCCATGCAGAAAGACCTTCTCGACTGGTGTTGAGAGCAATCTTATAATGGTCAAACTGCTCTTGCTGCCAGCCTGCTCCCATTGCTTCAGTGAGTTTTTTAAGCAAATATTCAATCTGTGCAGAAATACAAAGAGAAATTAATCATTTTCAGAAGACATTGAAAATCAAGTGTTTCAGAACTGTAAACTAAGCTTCTCTAGAGACTGTCATTATAGCTAGATTCCTACATTCATATGTAGGCCCCTAAACGTAGGTGGTTTAATTAACAAAGATTTTAGGCTCCTGTCTCAGTTGAACTTTTGACTGCCAAGCCCATCCCACAGCTACTCTCTTCGTAGTAAAGTAGCAAAGAATTTAACCTGACAGCCTCTTTTAATATTTCAGATTCCTACAGAACACATGGGACCTTTCTGGCAACAGCTTCCAAACTGTGATGACTGAGTGTGAGAAAGCAAGAAGTTTCAAAAATTGTTCTTGTAAGATAAAAAGCTAACAGACTAGAAAAAGTAAGAAAATATGGCATTTTGGACAAGCAGTGAAATGAAAAACTGCCAAGGTACGATCACATCTCTTAATCTACACCTGACCCCTCTTCTCCATCTCTCAAGCACTCCATCACTGGACAATCTTGGCAGATGTATCAAGAGGAGTAAAAGGACACACTTGTCACATCCGCTTTTATTGTTTCTAAAATAAACTCTCCTTTTCCTTTAATCGTTCATCATTTTGTAAGCATTACCATACACAGGGTAATAACACTAATCAAAATAAACACAAGAATGAAAGAGAGGGAAAGAAGGGTGGGTTTCTTCTTTTGTCTGTTTTTTTCTGTTGTTTTCAAACATCACTGTTCACTCTTTAAACAGCAGTATTTTAAACTAAGCCCACCTACAGCTTTGAGCACATGTAAAATGCTTTTAATGGCTCTTTAAACAAAATAATTGGCGAAAGCCTCCCTACAAAACACAGCAAAGTAAAAGCCAGGCTTCTAAGTTTCTATGACTGAAGTCAGAGGGTACCAATTACAGTGTTTAAGCCAGTTTTGAAGACAGACCAAGCCAGTGTGGCCTTCTGCTGTTTCGGGCAGTGGCTCACTGCATCCTCACTATCTCCACAGGAAACCCCACAGCCTTTGTAGAGCCGCCTGCGTCCTCCCTAAGGAGGGAGCCTGGGCAGAGGGTGCTCCTGCAGGGACAGGGCAGCACCAGCTCCCCGCAAGGCTGGCCTTTCTCTCCAGCCACCACAAGGCCAGCACAGAACCACCTGCTGGCAGGCTGGTCCACCACGCTGCAGGCCAGGGCTCCTCTTGGCTGCCCTGCTTCTCTACCAGCATGCGGGAAATGCACGTTGCCCCGTGGAGGTGGGGAGGGAAAGCACCATGATCCTTTCAGGTACTCTCTGTGCACATGGAAATAACATGGATTTCCTAAGTGATGCTTTGCTGAAGTTTAGTCAGCCAGCTCCACTTTCAGTTTAACCTATTTTAGGTATGAACACTAAGTGACTCAGGACTCTAAATTCCATTATCAAAAATGACTAAGGTGTACAGCATGAACATGACTCATTGAAACGTGGTGGAAACCAAATGCTTTCCAGGACTTCGTTTTTCTAATCACCAATGCTGGCTCACCTCCGTTCCTCAGCACTTCTTGAAAACACAATGTGATTTCTCCTACAGGTAAGAACTCCAGCTGAGAGAGCCAAGGGATGTTTCACCACAGCATAAATTAACTTTTCAGAATAGGCCTTTGAGCACCCAGCAGTCTCTACGTAAAAAAACTTGGGAGTACAAAGAAATAAAGAAGTGTTTTTTCCCCACACATTTCACCACAAGACTCCCAGGCCTCAAGGTTTTAAATGCAGCGTACATGCTAATTTTGTGGCTGCTGCTTCTCTCTCTTGCAACCCGTATAGGCAAATCCCTTTCTTTCTCTCACATCTACGATCAAGAAACACACAAGCGTGTAGCAGAGCACACTCATCTGGCGAAGCAATAAATTGCCAAATGGGTGGACTTTGCTTACTATTTCAGCTCAGTAACTGCTCTCAGTCTCACAGCCCCTACTCTAGTAGCATATGGACTAATATTAGACCAAAATGGAGGAGCTACCGAAAGCTGCTGCACTGTCTAGAAGAAAGTTCCCGCTCCCTTGAATGAGCAGGAAGCACATATCCCTCTGAAATGTGGCTGCATATCCTCCTCAAAAAAACTGTCTTAAGACAAGACAGGCTAGCCAGGCACAGAATATGCCTCCAGGTGGGTACTGAAGTTGTAGACAGCATGGATTTTCATTTCAGCTTCACCAAGTAAGGCATTTAAGTATTTTTAGCTCCTCATGCAATTCTTACTAGCAAAGATAGGATCTTAACAGAGGGCTCTGCAAAAGTGGCAAACAAATTGCATGCAGACAAGTGCAACTCACACAGGGCACAAGTGCAACTCACACAGGTTTATGGTAATCAGCAAAAGACGATTTTGGGCTCCGTGCTGTGGCCAGATCTGTGCTGTGCCCACCAGCCGTGTGAGGCAAACACCCCCCAGGCAGGCACACCTGCACCCTGGCTGCCAGCAAGTGGAGGGCAGCCCGGGCACCTGCTGCTGCTGTGCCAGGGATTGGCCCTGCCAAGTTCACCACTGCTCACCTTCATGCTCTTCTATCATAAAACTGTGCTTTGAGGTGGTGACACACACACCTCTGAATCGCTGAAGTTAATACACTCATACAATAGGAAGGAAATTTTAGCATGCCCTCCCAAGCTGCCAACATGTAACTTTTACCAGATTTCTGTAAAATTCAGTAACTAATTCCTTTAAAAATCATTAATACATGCTTTGCTGATTTTCACTCTCCAAAATCCTTAAGTTAAAAAACTAAGCCAAGGCTTCTGAGCATCAAATACCATAAATCCTCAGCATTCAGTTAAAGGCAGGAAGCAGCTTACTTCCTACTTCAGACAAGTTTTATAGAAAAAAAACCAAAACGAACAATTCAAAAAAGCCCTTCACAGCATGCAAGAACAGCAGCACTACAAACTTTGCAAAACAAACCTCCTAAATCCTGGATTTGATGAGCTGAAATAAGCTCTAGCATCAATGCAGGAGTAACCTTTCTTCCTATGTTCTAAACACATTCTGCGACACAGCTCAGTCCCTCTGAGCAGCATCAGTTCTGAACTACATAGCTGAAAGGAAAGCTATAATTACTGAGGCTTAATTAGGTAGATAATATACCTGCCAAATTGCTAGATGGTAATTAAACAACAACAAAAAAATCATTAAAACTTAATGAACTTTCATTTTAAGACATACTGTCCTCAGATTTCACAACCTATTACACTGCTTGAGGCATGCAGCTCTCAAATTCCTTTGGTTAATTATCTCAAAGTACTAGGACTCGCTTGCAGACATAGACACACACACACACAGAGACAAAATCATACCTGAATAGATTTTGTTAACATTTTTGCTCAAACCATATGAACAAAATGTGTATCAAACCAATGGTCTGGAAAAGAAGCAAAGCAAAACTCTTGGCTACTACACATTATCAGATTATGCACTAAAAATAAATCAACATATTTCCTTCATGTCCTTTGTCCCATATTTTCCCTTATTTTGATTATAGGAACAGATTTAAACATTTAAATCTGCTAAACCCCCCATCTACAAGTCACGAACATGACCACAAATATCCTATAATCCCATTAAAGTACATAAAATCTTATTATTTTAATAATAAACTCTTCTTAACTGAAAAAGGACCTGTGCATATTGTAATTTCTAAACTAAAAAAAAAATATTTAAGCTTTATCTTGCATTCAGATAAGTACCTGGCTAGCCAAAGTCCCCAGATAAAATTTATCTAATGCATCAGCTCAATAGCAACAGTGAGTGTTGTGGTGGGGTATGAATATGAAACAATACAAGGTAAATACAAAGAAATAAGTTGGATCAGTGTGGAAGCAAGTAAGAGACCATTCACTATGTGCTCAAATGAGGAACCTCTGAGAGCAAACATTTCCCCTCCTCCACAGAGAGACATGCCAACTCAGCAAATAACTGACAAATTAAGTCTACTGGTTCAAACATGACCTATTCTTGTGGTTAAAAAGTAGAGTGTCGAAAAGCAAACATGAGGCAACGTTTGCTGCTATTCTGACTGGACCTTACTTTCCATAAGGAAATGTAAAAACACAGGGGGATTGCTAATGCTATATATGCCAGTAAAGACCAACTGGCTCCACAGTATGAAAAACAGCTTCTGTCCCAAATCAACAGAAACTTTTCAGCCAGAATCTTGCCAAGAGAAAGCAAAAATAATATAAAGAACAGAGGCTCATTAACATGAGCTATGCAGCCTGTTTGGTATCTTCTTTCAGAGGGCTTTCTTTTCCCATGTTTCAATACCTATTTGTTTTTCTTTTCCAGGTATTCCTGGCACTACCCTCCATGGGGAATGAAGCATGTTTCACATATTTTTCTGATGTACAAGTGGGTCTCTTAGAGGATGAAAAATAATATCAAGGAGGCCTTCATGTCCAGCAGAACACAGCAGACATGGCTACTGTTCGTACTATTCAAATGAGATTTGTCATATTAACAGAGCAGATCTAAAAAGTCTATTCACATTATACAAAATTCTGTGGAAGCATATGGTACTGGGCAAGAGACATGAGAACCCCTTTCAAAGTCATCATCAATTTCTTTTTTTCATCCCATCGCAACATCACTTGCTTTTAAAAGTCAAATACTCGTTTCTTCTTTTCCACCAGCAAAGCTGTGCTCATTATCCAGTGTAAGCCATTATCTTATTTCTTTTTTTTTTTAATTAAATTAGCATTAAGTAGTATAATAGTGGTCAACTCAAAAAACAGTGTAACATGGAAACCCCAAGGACAGCCTGCTGCATAATCAGAAAACTGTTGGTTTTTTGTTTGGTTTTTTTTTTTACAGCAATCAGGAAAAGAATAGCAAAATGGGAAGAACTAATGCAAGTCGAAATGACTAAAAATCTTTTTAACCATCATCATCAACTTGTAGAGATCACAAATCAATCAAAACCCCACAAAGCAGCTTTCATTTTCGTATCAGTTTAGATTTTATTTCTGAATGTCCAAGGTTCAATTCCCAGTATTTCCTTCACTGTATCAGTTTCTGATACTAGAATGCAGAACAAGGAAGCAAATGTCACAGAAAAACTTTCTGCAAGAAATGCCTCCAGAAGAATCTCCACTGGACAGCTTCAGACTTTCACATCCTCAGTCTAAAAAACACCGCCTCATTTTCAAATGAACAGAAAGCCATACAAGGTCTGGACCCCAATTAGGGTTGTCCTAACTAGGGAGGATTAGAAATGCCCCATTAATACAGTTAAAAGCTAGAGGGACAAGTGAAAAATGACTGTACAAATCTCTCCTCGAGAAGTTTGGCTTTAAAAGCAAAGACAGCAAATACGTTTGGCTTATTTAAAACAAGTTATGTGAACGCTAGACTACAACAGGCAAAGACCATGCAGCTTGCAGTAATGATGGCCCTGAAACACATCTAACCACACACCACGGCTTTCAGGTGATAAAGCATTCCCAAGGCTTGCAGTCAGTGTCCAGAAATAAGAAAGGGGAACCTTTTTATGAAGTAGAAAACGTCTGGTAAAACAATACCAAGGCACACAGATGAGTCTGCAACAACTAAGAGGTAAGTTGTAAGGAAAGATCATGAGAGACCAAGAATATTTATCCTCTTAAAGCTACAGTTCTCGCCACCTTTCTTCCCTTCCTTTTATCCTTCTCATGAGAGAGGTAATGCCTGCAAGAGCTGAAGGAAACACACACTTGGATGACTGCGTCTCTGATCATCCAGTGGAAAAGATCGGCTGTGGGGAGGGGAAGGAGCTCCCACCCGGCCCCTCCCTTTCCGGGAGCACTAGCAGTATAGGTGCCCAGTAACTCTCTGCTCGCTGCACCAGAAGGCAGTTCTGTTGTTAGCTGAGAATTGTATTATTTCTGAAAGCTGTTCGCCAGGTCTAATTTTAACTAGAACACACAAAATAAAGCACTGTTTTCCTCCAGTCCATCTGTATCTCTTTGAAATACCACAATTCACGCAGTTCACAGAAATGTTTTACTTTGTGCATATTAAGGCTTCTCCCTTGAAAGGAGGGGTTTCAGATTTGATCCTTTTGCATTTCCCTGGGACATGAGCACCATTGCAAACTAGACATTCGTGGATGTCTGTTCATTTCCAAGTCTCCTAACTCCCCTCAGCTGCCCACCAGCAGCCAGCAGAAGCAACACTGGAGGCCAAGGCCATTACCAGGTGAGCCCAGTGCCCTGCATAGCCACCAGTTCTTGTCTCGCTGTGACCTGACTTCTCCCCATAACATAGAAGGATCCTCTGAAGTTTGAAGTCACATCGCAAAACTGCACACCCCAACCCAAACCCTTCCCCATGCTGGATTTTACTAACCTTACCTCTCTCAAGTACAGGGCTGCCACCTCTCCTTCCAGGGCAGGTGAGGAGCGCAGGCCAGACACTGCCTCTGGCTTTCAGCCTGGCCTCTGCTAAACAAGCAAGTTCTGGCCCTGGAGTCCTCTCCACTGCTTTCAAATTCCCTCTTTGTAACTGCTTTCCTCAATTTGATCTTTCTAAAGCTTTCCTCAGACTGTGTCTCTAAAACTTTTCCAGAGTAGCCTGTTTTCCCTTCTCTGGTTGAGCTGCAGCTGTTCCCAATTTGCTGCCCGTTCCACACCTGGGCAGGGAATCAAGACTTAACACTTTGCAGATGGGGTAGCAGCCCCACCACAATTAGTTGTCTAATATGAAAGGCCTGGCACAGCAGCACTACTGCAAGTAATACACGACATGGGCAAGAGGGAACAGCAGCCTCAATCTTTAGTCAGTGTAGTGCAAAGAAGGTGAAACTGCACCCAAGCAGGAGAGTTTTCCAGTTATGAAATTGTTCAAGTGAGTACAGAAACTAATTATCTCATTAAAAAAAAAACCCAAAACCCAACCAAAAAAAAAAACACCCCAAAAACAACAAAGAGGAAAATCTGATTCCCAAGCAAGTCTCAAAGAGCAGTTCCTCCAAGGAGGTGGAAAATAAGGCATCCTCACAGCCATATGAAGTTAATCAACACATTCACAGGAGACCTAAGAAGTTCTATTATCTTCCTATCCACAAGATGGGATGCAAAAGTCTTGCAGAAACCCCCTTCCAACCAGCAACTCTGAGGCAAGTTTCCTAGTCACTTATAAAGGGGAAACAAAATCTCTGAAGCCCAAAAGCCTAAAAGGTGGAAGGGAGGGAGGAAGGGAAACAGTTGGATCCCACACAAAGGACTCCACGCCAGAAACTGCAGTAAATTGTGTGTTGCAATATTTTCAGCCAGCAACAACAGCAACTAACAGGGAGGGAAGAAAAGCTCGCTCCCTGATTGCAAAGCTATAGTCACACATACGAGGTTGACACTGCTCTCACCAAAACATAAACATCACAGAACAGTGATGCTTCCATCACCCTCTCCTCTGTTCTTCACTTTGCAAAAATCCCCTTCCTTTAAAACACATGACATGCAAGCCATTTTGTAATTAAATGAAAGGATGCAATATAAACTGGTGAAGACTAAATACATAATCAAGCTTTATTATGAACTCAAGAGGCATAAAAAGTAAATGGAAAGAAAAATACCTTTACTAGGTACCAGTATCATTTTGAATACTATCAAAGAGAGTTATTTTCAGGTCAAAATTCTCAGCACTAAGACAAACAACCATAAAAAAAAATGCTTTGCAAATCTAGAGTTTAGATTTAACATTTAAAAAACCCAGACATAAGAACTTAAAAGGCAAATATGAAAAGTCACACAGAGAAAAAGCAAAACTGAACAAAATTGAGACTTTGCATCTTTACTTTTGGAATTTTTTGTAAAAGAGTAAATGTGGAATTTTCCAGAAGTACAGAGAACCAGAGAAGGATCAATGCAAACCAGACAGGAGTGCATTCAACAGACAGGGTTCCTCCACCAGCTGATTACACTACCTGTGTGGTCTAAGGCAAAAGGTTAGAGTGAATACAGGCATTGTATATGGTGAGAACAGAGAAGTCTTTCTTTGCCAGGCTCCATAAGCTTTCTTTAAACAGTATTGCACAATTTAAATCTCGTAATCAAGGAGATGCAGACACAGATCCACCCTAAGAAGTCAAAAAATAATCCAAGTAGGAGACCAATACAGGTTAACACCAGACATTAAGGATGGAAAGGAAAGCAAACAACACCAGTTATGAAATCTGGAAAAGCTTTTTTGGGCTTGGAAGCTGACCCTGCAGCCCATCTGCAGCAAACACACACATTACCATTACCCGGCATCAGCTGCAGAAGGCAGCAGGAATCTGGGGACTTGCTTGGCAGACGGGGGGGCAAGCGAGCAAAGGTCTGAAGCTTTAACCAGCCAACAAATAAGGAGCTGTCAAATGTTTACCCTCAGGTAAGCCAGGGTGTGCAGTGAGGAACACAGTGACAATCAAGAGACGTGGATTTAAGTCCCAGCTTTGACATTTATTAGTGACCTTCTACCAATGCCAAATCTGGCACCATTAATAAAGGAGCTGTCTTAGCTTGTATAACCATGATCCCCATCTCACAGAACTGACAGAAAAAAACGAAAAGCAAGCAAGAAGACGGTCTTATTTCTCATGGGAATACAGCATCCCAGGTAGGGCCCTGTCATCACCAGTCTGGCAAAACCAGAAACATTGTACAGAGTGAAAGTTTCCTGCTATAAAGTGAGTAATAAGGCAAAACCAATCCGTTTATTTTGACAGGGGAGTTATCTGTATTTTATGGTTTGGCACAACACTTGGAGTCCAACAGTTATGTCGTAGTGGCATGTAAATCAGACTCTTCTGATCCCTGACTGTTCAACAATTTACAAATATTTATTAATCAGTACTCCAGTGCTGAACTGCAAACCTGGGATTTCTGCATACAGTTTTGCAAGATATTATTTATGCCTGCAGTTTTGATCTTTCTGCTTCTTCCCTCGCCCCTCCCCAAGGGGAGAATAGTGGAGATACCAAAAAAATCTTGCTTCAGGGTTAAAACACCTACTTGAGCGTTGCCCATACTTGTTCATGAACTTAAAGTATAAACAGATCTTGCTGGTATTATTCCTTCAACCATTTCAAGCAAGAGTATTCAGGTAGTGTCTGCTTTTGATCAGAAACAGGTATCATCAGAAAAGTTCCTACTTCTCCTTTTCATAAGGAGGGTGACATGAGACCAAAGACTCATCTTGCAACACACAGCACAGAATGTTTTTTCAGAATCACACTGATGTAGTGTGCAAAATTTTAATCGCATAAGCAAGCATTATTAAAGCGATTAAAGATCACATAAATGCACTACTCGTGAGCAAGGCAAGAACCTCAACAGCTCCCAGTGCTGCTGCTAGAGCTAGTCTCCCCAGCCCTGCTCAGTCTCACAAAAAACAAAATAAGCTATTTACTGGGGGGCAAGCACATGTCCCATTAAGTCCAGGCTGCTTAAATGACAGGACACACATAGTCATCAACATCTAAAGTATCCTGTGGGAATCCCCACATATGTGCCCTGGAAGAGAGAGAAAAGCACCCGAGGCCTCACACAATTAAAAGAGGGGAATAGCAGTTTTATATTAAACAATTGTTTTCTCTTAAATCTCTACAGGGTAGCAAACATTAACATAGTTCAACTGGGACATTAAGCAAACTGGTGTTAAACAGCTTAAGTTCATGTTTCTTACCTCCTCAGGTACAATGATTAAAGGGTATTTGTCCTCTGATAAGAAGTTAAAAATAACCCACACTTTAAATGCATCTTCATCACTAATCAGCAAAGGACTTTTAGAGAGGTTCTTTTTAGCACAGAGAGTCCAGCACATCCTGTTGAATTCAACTTTGTCAAAGTTTCCTTGAACCTGAAATGAATAAATGGAACAACAACAAAAAAATTAATATGCACAAATGGCACAGAATAACAGACTCTAGACAAAGTTTAACAGGCTAAGTTATACAAAAAGCACCAAGAAAAACTCTAGTTTGCAAGAAATGTCAAGGCCCAAAAAAAGCACTGTAGCAGCCTAGTCTGATTTCCTGCATGGGGTCAAGTAAGGAATTTCTTCCAGCAAAATCTACATCCAACTTCCAATTCTTGGTTGAGTTAATAACACCCTGACTTCACGTGAAGGAGGCTACACTGCATTCTGCATTTCCTCTAGTACATTAGCTTTAGCTTCCAAACCATCTTTGTAACTGTCTTAGTTCCAACTGCCCTTCTATTGCACTGAGTTGCTGAGATTTTGTATAGCAAATTTGGAAACCAATATAGCCAAAACTACATGTGGATATGTTAAAAGTAATATTGGAACAATAGTTGGGAAAAACCTCTAATATGTTTCTCCATTTCATATTCACTCAAACGTAATTCTTGCGGGATATTCATAAACATGTAATTTTTTTTTTCTTGAATGCTAATCCACTTAGAACCTTTCATTTTTCTTAGACTTGCAAATCTTCACCTTACTGATAAAATTCCCCTTTTTTTGTTATCCTTTATCATACCTAGCAACTGTATCATCTGTGAATTACTTACACATGCAAAAGCTTTCATTTCCTCTGTTTTCTTTTTAAACCCTCATTTAGGTTTGAGGTTAAATCTATTTGTCTCCCTACATGTTTAGCAATATCTTTGCCAACATGCAACTGATAAAGGCACGTTACACGCTATAATGTAAATCCCTTGAGATTTTGAAAACCATGTCTAGGAAACAGGTTCTTGTGACTCTTGTGGTAATGACACCAGTAATTTCAGTGACATTTTCTTATGATAGGCCAAACCATCCATCTTAGATGGGTCAAGGACACTAGTGCAAACATAATTTTCTATCCAGTCTGGTAAGTGGTCAAATATAGTGGAGGGTGAGCCACAATGGCTAAGTCAAAGATAGACTCAGGAAGTGGATGAACTGATGTGGGTGGGAGAAAAAAAGAAAAAAAAAACCAACACAGAGGTAAACAGGAAACCAACCCTATGCCAAGAAGCACTTTACAGTAGTCAGGACTAAAAGTGAGACCATGAAAGAAAGCCATAACTTCGCATGCTTGCAGAGCAGTCCACCAATAAGTGACAACAATATTGTCACGTAAGTGACAATACAAGAGGCCAGCTACAGCCTACAGCTGTCCTTTCAAGAAGCTGGAAGCTGTAGGAGCTATAGCTGCCTGGTTGTTTAAACAAGGAACATGGGTCTTAAATGAAACACCAGCTAAGTGAAGGAACCTCAGCATCCTGGTTGTTTAAACAAGGAACATGGGTCTTAAATGAAACACCAGCTAAGTGAAGGAACATGCTTTGGAAGAAGGGCTAGAAGCCAGCTGTACTTGTCCTTCCTTCAACTTGCCAGCACCTCATCCCATGGCTACTTCTGCCTGTGCTTTTTCCTGTCTATCCTCCCCACCCTGCCGAATGAAGCTTGACTTCTTTTCTAAAACAGCTTCGCCTACCCAGATGATAAACAGTTCCACCTTGGAAATGTCCTAGTTGTTATGCTACTCCTGAGGGAGATGCCAACAGGGTGGGAAATCTCCTTTCCTACAGCCGCTGCCTGCACTATAAATAAGGTGGGTTGCTCTACCAGCAGCTCCTGTTTTAAAGCACAGCAGGGGTCAAGGACCAGACGGAGATCGGTGGAGAAAGGCACGGGCCCCAACTGGAGTAAAGGAAAGTGCGTGCCTTCTGCTCACGTAGCAAAGTCGGACCACGTGTGCCTCAGAAACTCGCATCAAAACCCAAGTCACCAGCAGCACATTACTACCACCAGGATTAGGGAGCAGCCAAGCAGGAGGTTTCAGAACCATGTTACTCCAGGGGACTAGTTAGCGCTGTGCCAGCAGTCCCACTTTAGATCTGCAAGTCCTCTTCTCAGAATCCGGACTTGATTCTGAAATGGTCTTCATGGGGCCCATGTGTCATCCAGAGCAGAGACACTGTTTAGGAATTATTCAGGAACAATAATCAGATGAGCACACAAGCCCTGGCTCTCCACAATAACTCTTGATTCACATCTGTGATTCTTTTCTAAATGATCGGGCTGGCTGTTAAATAAAGGATATAATGACAGAATTGTCTTTCTGGAAATACTGGGAGCTGGGGATGGAACTAAATAGTTCTCTTTAAAGAATAATAATTTTCCTTGGCAATTTCATGTAACGATGCCAACTATTCCTGGTACCTGTGTTCTACAAGTACATTTGCATGAGGTGGGAAGGTAAGAAAGGTGAAAATTCCACAACTAAACCCAAATTGCTTTAGAACTAACTCAATACTATGAAAGTCTTGGCTGGGCTACTTTGGCTTCCTTGACTGGCAACACTCCACTGTAGGTAGCTACGTAACAATCACTCTGAATCATCTCTCTGGTTTTATGACAGATCATTTCTAAGGATAGTTTCAAAAATTAAAAATGTCTGAACAGTTTCTAAACTGTTCAGTTCAGTACTTGAACTTCTTTGCAAAAGTACTTCTAACTTAGTTAAGAAATTGTAGAAGTAGAAACTTTTCAAACAGGATGAACTGATGGCAAAACAACCCAGTCAGAAATCCATATACACATTGCTTCTTCATGACATGAACAAAACACATATTTACAAAAACAGACTAGGTCAAAGACTATCCTGGTATTCAAACTTAAAGACAATTCCCCCAAACACCTTTAACTGTAGTGAAACTCTACTGTGAATCCTACACTGAAATCATCTTGATGTGAAACTATAAAGAAATTTAAAACACTCTACTGATAAACCAAAATTTCTTTTTTTCTTGCTAGAATACTCATTCTGCTTGCAACTTGTGTGAATATCACACAATTCCATTGCTTAATTAATAAACCAATGCTTGTACAAGATATTCTTCTTGTGCACTAGTACATGCTTTTAACTGTATTTCATAATTTGTCCAAATTATTTGAAGTTACTGTTTCACTTGGAAGCTTCTACAGTACCCCACACTATTATTAACTCTACAGCAACTACCACTTTTTCCTGTGAATCTGTCTGAATAATGAAACATGCAAACGAACCAACCCCTCCAACCTTAAAACTGCTTAAACTCAGAGATAAAAACACAATCTACAGAAGACACCTACCTCCTCTTTCTAAGAAGCTTCACAAAATAATCAAAAGAAAAACATAGCAAAACCCATACAATTTTCTAGATCTTTAATTTCTACTAATATGCAACTAAATAACTAAAACATAAGAGAATACAGACAATACTTGGCTTAAGTACCAGTGATCAGATCAGTCCCAAAAATGTAACAAGTACTGGTAGTGTAACTAGCATTCACTGAATTGTTGGGAAGATGAGATAACCACAGGTTTAGAACAAAGTTCTTCTTTGTCTCCGCCCCAATTATGACTCTTACCTGCCATAAATAAGGCATGTTGTAAAATACCACCATCATCACCATTGAAAAGGAAACATCTTCAATTGGTATTAAAAGACATACATTGTAAATAATGGCACATGCTAAAATATTGTTATAAAAGCAAGTAAAACAAATAATGAAGACAATATACTGACAAGAGACATCTCCCTCACGAAAGGGACACTTACAGAAGAACAGATTTTGTTTCAGATGCAAGAAAATCCTAGATACATCAGTCTGCAAAGTAGCACAATACAGGAAATCATCCATTAGACAATGTTATTTATTCAAACTATGTATTCCCTATTTAGAGATGCCATCAGTTTCTCTCATCGAACTACCAACTTGTGCCTTTCCTCCTTGGTTCTATATAAAAAGGCTTTATTGCAGGGTAACACTGGGTAAGTCAGCACTAAAAAATAATTAAAACTACAACTGCATTTAAGAGTACAACATAAGTTATTCCAAAAGGTTTCAAACTGCTCTCAATAAAATTGTAAGTCAGTTACATATCTGTTTTAAAATAAATCTAAGGATTAGTTCTTTAAATATTTTACTGATGTTTTAAAGCAAAATATCTTGATATTCAAAATAACTCTCTTGAGCAGCTTGCTCTTGCTCAAATCAATTAATTCACCAGAAGATGTATGACTGGCAACTGAGAGAACTTCCTCTGTATTTGGGGGTATAAAGCACCAGTCCTCCTTTAGTAGCTTTACTTACTGGCATAAATTAAATTAAGTTTGTTCTACAATCACCCCATCTAAAAGAACAGATTACGCCTTGCAAGAATGAGGGAAAAAAAAGGGTTTCTTGTTTGCTTTTTTTCCTTGTTTGTTTTAAACAAAGGAGACATGCTATGAACCAGTGACTTCATCCCACTGCACGTTGTCTTTTGGCACTGATGTGAAGTCATCTCTAAAACATGAGATGTCACAACCAAGATTTTTCCAGTCCACAAATATAGCTTTGTGTCTAAAGAATTTCACTAATTTTTAATAGTATATAACAAAACTGTTTACAAGCATTTAGTCAGGTTTAAATAATATGAAGTTACAGGTAATTTAATCCTGTTCCTTAACATTTTCATCTTTTAAGATGAACTAATGGTATGGGTGTATCAGGCAAATACTGGAAGCCAGATCAGTGTATAACACCACAAGAAACTACACGCAGTCAAGTGAATTTAATTTCATGAGAAAATCAGGTAGTTTGTCCCTTGTTTTTACCTTGGGGTAAGAAATTGCCCCAGAGTAGCTAAACACTGTAAATTCACACCAACTTGCTTATGTAGCCAGGTTTTTCATTTTCAAATTAAGGTGTTATTTAAATGCAATTGCTCCTCACATCTGTAACTATTCTTCCTGTAAACACTCTGTAACAATATAGCTTATTTATATTTGAAAAAGCCTTCCATACTTTTTTTTTTTTACTTAATGGTTTGCTGCTGCCCTACAAATAGTATTAACAAAAATCACTGTGGTTCAGACTCTACTACTGTAATCCTTCAGTCAAAATAAAGACCTTTTCTTTCTCCCCAGAATTTGTATAAAACTGCTTGGTCTCCGTTCAATCTTACAGGAGCTCATATAGCCAGCATGAAATGGAAATATCACAAACTTCTTAGGACAACGCAAGATGCTTCAGCATCAAACCACCAAGACATTAAAACAGGTACCTTTATGTGTATTAATGACCAACTCCCACACATAAAACACGACACTACTACTGGGTAGGAGAGAAACACAGAGAGGCAGAGGAGCTGGTAAATCTTAGCTAGGCGTAAGAAGGTTCTGCTGCTTCCAAGCTGTCAGACTGCATTATATGTATCACGTTTTCCATCAGTATTAAATATAGATTAAAGCAGCAGCAAAAAGCAGTAAATCCATCTAAGGAGTTTGCATAATCTGCAATTGCTGCATTGGACTTTTTAGCAGCATGTCAGTTCAGGACTTCTTAACATTATAAAAGAAAGCAAGAATCTATGCATCTCTGCAGCCACGACATCAAAGTTTCTGGGGTCAGTCCCCAAGCGTACTGGAAATCAGAGGTACTGCAGCCAGTACATTTGCATTATCCCATGGGGTGTTTTTTACTGTCTGGACCACTAACTCAACAGAAGTCGTCAAAAAAAAAAAAAAAGAAAAAAAAGAGGGAAGACAGTTTGCTGCTTTATTTACTTTTTTTTTTTTTTTTACACTTTCAAACCCAGTGACTACCTATCTTAGAACAAGATGGAGAGTAAGGGGAAACCCTGCTGGTTTTCCAGAGCTTCCCCAAAACCAAGGCACAGCAGAAGGCTAAAGAGTGCTTAGAAATGAAAGAACTTGCAAGACAAAACTTAACAACACTCCCTAATGTCACCCACTGTAACTTCTTGAAGGGATCTATTTATTAAAATACCTTGTGAATACACATAAAAGACATTTTTGCCCATCCTGTTTACAAAGGAGTCTATGACAATATTCTGTTATAATGCAGGATAAAGCAGGCCAGTCTACACCTCCAAGACACTTTCAAATAAATTCAGCTGAGGTGTTTTATTAACATGGTTCTGCATTAACACAGCTTAGACAATGACCAGATGCATCAGGAAATAGAAACCAAGGAGACAAAAAAGAAGCAGAGAACAGTGCACCCTTCCATTTTAAGGCACAGGTGCTCCAAAGTACCCTCCCCATCACAACCCCACAAAAGGCACACACACAACCAGAGTCTCTTTGCACCAGCATGATTCCTTCTGCAAGGAAGTACAGCAAGTGAAGACAATAATACAAAACCTGGTAAAGGGAAAAACAGAACACAAGAACACAAAACTTACCTTTTCCAAGATGAATTTGTTTAGATAAGGCATGTAACCCTGATTGGAAACTGGTCCTTCATCATCGTCCCTAAAGTGCTCTTCCAAGGCCACTGGATCGTGGGGAACATTTAACACTGTACACAAGTTGTGAGAAAGGACCTAAGGATAGAAGAGAAACCAGTGACCTTGTTGTCGGCCTTAACCATGCTGCATTCCCTCCAGAGCAGACCTGTGATTCACAAAACCACCAGCAAAGTGACACTTCCACATCAGCACAAGTCTTGCACTGTGGGTTTGGTTTGTTTTTTTTTTTTTAAAAAAAAAAAAACCAAATGTAACTGAAAAAGTTGACTCCAAGGATTCAACAGCTTCAGACTGTTTCACATTTACAGAAACAATGCAATCACAGATAGGTCCATTCCTACAAAAGTACAAGCACAGATAGGGAAGCTGCCCTTTGTACACAAACACTTATGCATTTGAAAGCCAGGAGAGGCATACAGAAACACCAAAGTAGTATTTACAGAGAGAAATTAGACAGCTAAGGAAAACAACCACAAGCACCTAGCCTTTGAAATGATAAATACTTACTATCTAATGAAAACAAGTAACAAAGCAAACAACTCAACAGGTACCTTTAGCTTACAAAGAAATGACCACTCAAATTAAAGCATTAACTACAGATTTCTCTCATTTGCTTGCTTTGGGTTGCTTCTCAGCATTCACCCCATGTTTCAGTTGGCAAAGGAAAAGTAATGTTACAAAAAGGGGAAGGGTTTAGGTGTGCTTCTCAAATTTTTATTTTAAAAATGTATTTGCATGAATTATATCAAGAGCTTAACACCCACCAGCACTCATGTCTGTTCTTGAGAAATGACCTTCAAGAAGAGGTTACACACTTGATTAACTTTAAGGAAGTACCGAATTATTGAAAACTGGTAGCCAACGCATCTCAAGTTCTTCAATTTAGGTGGAGTTTTGCATGCACAAACGAACGCCTCAGTACCAACAACAGGAAGGCAGACCCTGGGTAGCAATAACTCCTGTGCCACCAGCACTTTCCTAAGAAAGACCAAAGCATCATCCCTTTCATTGTTCACACTGTCTCAAGCCAGGTCACTCAAGCAACACGCTGCCCACTGGGTCTTAAACAGACTCAGGAGTGCTCTCCCTTTGGCATGATGCAGAGGTTACACCCCTGAAGATCATATACTGGCTACAGAAACTGGGTTAAGGATTTAACTTCACATGCCCAGGAATGGTCTGCATTGAAAAGGTACAACTAAAAACCAAAGCCAAAAAATACAGGTAAAACAAAATTAGGCAGAAGTAAAACACACTGCATCCTGAGAAAAGGCATGCTGCTAGAGGTTTGGGGGTTTTTTTAATATCAAAAACTAGATAGCACAGACTACATCTGAATTTTGGCAAGTGTTTTACTTTTTTACTGTGGAGCATAAAATTAAACAAAATTGAGACAAATGATGCAAAAAGAAAGCAGTAAAAAGATATGCAGAAAATTTATAAGCAGAAAATTTATATTTAGGTGAGTAGACATAAAGCAGTAGAGATGGGGTGGCTGCCAAACAAGAAACATTAAGCCACTGGAACTAACCAAGTGCAAAAGCTTAAAACCAGAAAAACAGCAGCATCAGCCATCTTACAACAAAAGCTGTATTTCCCAAAGAGGCAAAATAGTATTTAGAAGTTACCACATTTCACAGTACCTTCCATTGACAGTGTATTTCCCTTAAACCCATCCTTATTTTTAACAACCACATCAAATCAAGTATTTGAGTCCATGTGATTTACGTACAGGGGGGAAAAAAAATGTACTATCATGCGTGTTTCCCCTTCTATTTAAGGCTTCTGCTGTTATTTATAGGAGACTGAGGGATTCTTGAATTTCTGAGAGATAAAGATGATCTCAGTTTTCCAACTAGACTGTGTTGCTAATACCATAACTAAAAAAATACTCAGCTAATAAAAATATTCTAAAAGCATAATTGATTTCAGCTTATTGCCAAAATAACTTAAAACTCGCAATAAAACACTTCTCATCATGTCTCTTGTACATGTTCTCTCTTCCCTTTTTTGGCCACCTTACTGTGCTTTGGTTGTCAGAAACCTAGATGGTTTTCCTCATCAAGCAACCAATTTACCAGGAAAGAATTCCACTTTCAATCATTTCCTAAGATCTGCCTTATCTGCGATCTCTCCTGTGCCCAGTGCTCTCTTTTCATAACTCAGGAAATTCCTCGGCGCCTGCCAAAGCCTGCCATTCACCAACACGGCCAAGCGCCAGCTGAATTCTTCAGTTGCAGGGTAAGCCTGAAAAATTCTGCACCAAGGTCTCATTTTGTTGTGTTTTCTCAAATCATGTTATCTGAACCATGATATACACTGTTTTAATGATCATTTTTAAAGTTGTTTCTTTTTTTTTTTTAAAAAAAGAGTTAATTGGAGTATGAAAAATCGCCTTGCCTCACAGAAGCTCCTGTCAACCATGAGGAAGTTTTGCACCAGTAAGGATTATTCCCCCCATGCCCACAGGGTTGCTAGGCAGCTTTTCCTTTCAGCACTTACTATGCTCTGGATGCCACATTTAACAATCCACCCTCATGTCAGAGCCAACTCCTTACCCCAACCTGAAGACTCATCTCTGTGCTGCAGCAAATGGGTACAGCAGTGGTCCCCAAACTGTAGTCCATGATATGGTGCAATCAGTCTGCAAAGGGTCCACAAACCCAGTGTACTCTTGGCACAATTTTTCCATTTTCAACAAAACGTTTCATGAGAAGGATGCCTAGTGGTGCCCAGGGAATACTGAAGGTGTTCTGCTCTAAATACAAATAACTGAATGAAACAAGCAAGCTGAACACCAAAGGTTGTTACAGACTTTAGATTTACTTTATTTATGGCCAGTCTCATGCTGAGTGAACTGGAGTGCAGATCTCCAGCTCAGCTCTACCCTGTCACAGCTGCTCCTCTCTGAGCTCCCATTTTCCAAAAGACTGATGATCTTCCAAAACTTTAAACACGTGTTGAATTGTTACCATCCGAGTAGTTCCATTTAATCTTGACCACAGGGGAAAGGAAGACCTGCTAGACTACTTACTGCTCAGCAACAAAAATTTGGCCCAGATCATAGTAGGAGCATTAACAGGGCAGACTAATCCTACAGCAGCTATTGTCAGGTTCTTCAGTACTTTTTTCTTCTTCTTTTCCATTTTTCAGGGGGGTCTTCTCCTTCCCCCATCTCTTTTTAAGACTTTAAAATGTTGGCATCACAGATCTCGACAGCCCCATTCAGTGCCTTCATGTGAATTCACTCCAAGACATTCTTGGCTCATCTCTCCCTGACATCCATGTCAGCAGCTAGCCAGCCAAAATAAGGCTACTCACAAGTATGTTCCCTTTTCCTTTTTTGACCAGTGTGGAAACCAGCATCGTATATGCCACTTGTCACAGGCACAAGGTCTTTTCAACCAGGGTAGGTCTAAGCATACAGCTTCCTGCATCACAGCATCTTCAAGGTACAGCTTCCTTATCCACTCAGGTACCAAATGCTCTGTTCAGAGTCCTATTACTTAACACTGGGGTTCGTGCAGCAACCTCTTTCCCAGACAAACGAGTGTATTCAAGCCTGGCCTCCACCAGCTCAGGTTCCTGACACTATCGCCCTTCACCCACACCACCTCTCCGTTCCTCCATTTTCTCCCTTCTCCCTTGGGCACTCACAGGCCCCTTGTCTCACTTGGGCACTCCCTTGGGCACTCACAGGCCATTTTCGACCACCTCACCCTTCCTCTTGCTTTCATTATCATCACATCCCTTTTGGCCCCCAATCACATACTGGTGCCAGCCTGCATCTGTCCAGTTGCCAAGGGAACTGCCTTTCTGCCCTGTGGCTCTTGGCCCTTAGGAAGAGCTCCCACTAATCATCCTTCATCTACTGTGCCTTTCTTCTAAATCTTCCTTGAAACCAGTTGACAAAACCTCAAGGACAAAGGTTAAGCAGTCTGCTGATCTACCGGCAGCTGCTCCTCTCAAGCACAGTATCAAGGCCTCGTGGTTTCCTAATGCCTTCCCTTTCACTCTACAAGCTGCCCTGCTCTGCTAGCTCTTCTGGAAGAGGGGCATCCCTCCCCTCACACCTTGCAGACACAATTCCTCATGGCTACCCTGATAAAAATGCTTCTGAGCCCCATTAATAACGTCAGACTACAAGTCTCTCATAGTGAGTCATAATGACTAATTTCCTACCACCCTTCAATGTTGTACAAAGTCAATTGTCCAGCTGTGGTCCTGCCCACTCGTCACAGGCTCTCAACCCTTCCAGTGCCTTGCTACATTGTTTGAGGTCTTCCTCTCCATTTGGACCTTCCCTCTTGCCCCTAATTACACCATTTTTCCTCTTCCCAATGGCCACTGACTTCCCATTTAGTAAAAAGGCAAAACAAAGATAAGAGGTATAATACTCCTATAGCATCCTAGATACAGTTAAAGTACAAGTTTAAATTTTCTAAGCCTGTCTAGCAACTTTGGTCAGGCACATATTATGGGCCTGCATAAGACTGTATTTTCACGAGGTGTTCACCATTCATGTCCTGCAGATATCACACCAGGAACAAAAGACTTTGAAAATCCACCCCAGCAACAGCACACAGAACAAAACAAAGAAAGCCAAATAACCCCACTGCCTAAGCAGATACAAGTCACAACGCAATGGGAGGAAGAGCTTCCAGAGAGAGTGTGAAAACTAGTTGGTATTCATTCCTTCCAAGATTCAATCGTACACACATACTACAAGGAGTATTGCTGACTGCTAAGTGTAACTACATTTAAAACCATAGTGTTTCAACATCTGGATGAAAAGCAGGTTGAATGTTGGTGCATTACAGAAACTTTTAAAGTCAGTCAATTTTAAAATTGCAGATAACAAGACAAATGAAACTGGATTTAAATATAGGAAGACAAATATTTGCATGTAGCTTGAACTACAACAGCAACTATAACCGCATACACAAAACATTTAGCTTTGCTATATGAGTGTTTTCAAGTGCTGAAACACACTGACAAAATAATGGTTGTGTCCATATTTAAAGGAGTAATTTAAGAACAGAATACACAAATATTTCTGCTTATGTAGAAAAAAG